TGGTGGTGATGATGATGGTGATGCTGATGGTGATGATGATGGTGATGCTGATGGTCATGATGGTGATGATGGTGATGATGATGATGATGATGATGATGGTGGTGATGATGATGATGATGATGATGATGATGATGATGATGATGATGATGATGATGATGATGATGATGATGATGGTGATGCTGATGGTGAAGATGCTGGTGATGGTGATGCTGGTGATGGTGATGGTGATGATGGTGACGATGATGGTGATGCTGATGGTGATGGTGATGATGGTGATGATGATGATGATGATGATGCTGATGATGCTGCTGCTGCTGATGATGATAATGGCGATGATGAGCCTCGGCGTCGACGTCCACCACGACGCCCGCATCCCCGGCGCCGAAGTGCGGGAACCTCCGGCCCGGCTGCACGCTCACGCGCGCCCCCCTGGCCGGCCACGGGCCCAGCGCGTGGGCGGCGCTCCACGGGCGCTCCTCCGAGGGAGGGCGACCGGCGACAGCGGCAGGCGGCCCTTCGGGGATCTCCTCGCCGCTACTCCTAAGTCGGGCGTGTCCCCCTACAGGGGGATTGTCGACGAAAAATAAAACATACCCCAAAAATGCTCCGAAAAGGTCCAAACATACAAAAGACAAAGAACAAAACATTCCCCAGACTATTTTTGGATTATTTTGGGACTGTTTTGGGGGCATTTTCTTTTTTATTCTGCGTCGAAAATCTCCCTGTAGGGGGACAGGCCCGACTCAACGCTACTCGGCGGCGAGCAAAATGGGGGACGCGAGGAGGGCAAGGCCTTCGCGGCAGGCGGCGGGGAACCTCTCCGAAGCCCCGCCGGTCCTCCGAGAGCTTGTTTCTTGCGCCCTCCGGGCAGGCTCGGGGAGCACTTCTCGGAGGGTCCGGGGGACTCCCTTCTCACTTCCCCCCCCTCGCTCGCCCCTTCTCACTTCCCCCCCCCCCCTCGCCCCCCCCCTCGCTCGCCCCTTCTCGGAGGGTCCGGGGGGCTCCCGAGCCTCCCGAGGGAGGCCCGCCCCTTCTCACTGCCCCCCCCCCCCTCGCTCGCCGCCGAGCCGTGGCTGGACGCGGCTCGGAGTGCTGGGGCGCTTGGACCCTGGGATTAGGTCGGGCCTGTCCCCCCACAGGGGGCTTTTCGACGAAGAATCACAAATACCCAAAAAATAAGCCAGAAATATTGTCCAAAAATGGTCTGGGGACTACTCTTTGAATATATTTGGGCCCTTTTTGCTTATTTTTGGGGTATCTTGCATGTTTCGTCGATAAATCCCCCTGTAGGGGGACAGGCCCGACTTCCCCCCCCCTCGCTCGCCGCCGAGCTGCGGCTGCACGCGGCTCGGAGTGCTGGTGCGCTTGGACCCTGGGAGTGCCCATCGCTCGGACGCCCATTCCCTGTGCTTTTTTCGGCTTCGTGCGTGGCTCCTTCGCCAAGTGACCAAGGATGCTCCTCGATGGTCCTCGCCGAGGAAAAAAACGCACACGCCCGAGCGATGCCGAGTGGGAGGGGCCGCGGGCACCGACTTCGAGGCGCCGCTGCCTCCGCTCGCCCCTCGTCCGAGCTCCTCGCGCGGCAGGCACCGGTCCCTGGCGCCCATCGCGCCCCCGCGCGCCGCCCGCGGGGGCGGCCGGGCTGCCACGCCTCGGCCGGCCACGACGACGAGGCCCCACGAATTCGCTATTGAGCCGAGGGCGCGGGTTCGTCTTGAGCCTCGGCATCCCGCGACGACGAGGCCCGACGAATTCGCTGTTGCTAGGGGAACAAAAGGTGGCATAGACACAAAAACTCGGAGGTCCGCGCGGATTTCTCGGATCGGCGCTGGGGCCCCCCGGCGGCGCCTCCGGCGCCGCCCCTGGCGCGCTCCGCGCCAGGGGCGGGGGGCCAGCGCCGATCCGAGAAATCCGCGCGGCTCCGAGGTTTTTTATGTTTATGCCACTTTTTGTCCCCCTAATTGAGCCGAGGACGCGGATTCGTCTTGAGCCTAGGCCGCCCGGCTTCGCGCAGGGCGCCCGACGATGGGCGGCGCACGGCCATCTTCGCGCCGCCGCCCTGGAGAAGCCAGGCTGCGCGACGCGCGAGGGTCTTCGCACCCCCGCGGGTTTAACATTCGAGATCCCTATCTCGAGAGGGTCGTCGTCGTCGTCGTCGTCGTCGTCGTCGTCGTCGTCGTCGTCGTCGTCGTCGTCGTCGTCGTCGTCGCCGCCGCCGCCGCCGCCGCCGCCGCCGCACGGCGTCGCCGCGTCCGCTCGGCGTCGCCGGCGCGGCCGCTGGGCGTCGCCGCGTCCGCTCGGCGTCGCCGGCGCGGCCGCGGGGCGTCGGCGTCGGAGGTCCTGCGCGAGGTCGTCCTCGGGGCCCCTGCCGCTGCGCAGCGCCCGCGCGCCCAGTCGCTGGGCGCGCTGCTGCAGCAGGCTGGGCGGCCGCCTCGCACCCGGGGGGGTCGCCCGCGGGCCGCGGCGGCGGCGGCGCGGGCCACACGCGCAGGGAGCGGCCCCCGATCGAGGAAGAGGAGGAGAAGGAGGAGGAGGAGGGGGAGGAGGAGGATGAGGAGGAGGAGGAGGAGGGGGAGGAGGAGGAGGAGGAGGAGGAGGAAAAGGAGGAGGGGGGGGGAGGAGGAGGGGGAGGAGGAGGAGAGGAGTAGAAAGGAGGAGAGAGGAGGAGAGAGGAGGAGGATACAGTAGAGCATAGGATGACAGATGTGGCGCGGCCGCGCCTGGCTTGTCCCCCCCACTCTCTCCTCCCCTCCCTCCCCTCCCCACCCAGGCGAGAACACAGACGTACCGATGCCGCTTCTCCCTGGACCTCTCCACGGGAGGCGCTCCGACCAGGATTTCGAGGAGAATCCGGCCGTGGCGACAACGGGCTCTGCAGGACGAGCAACCGTACAGTCGGGGCGCGGAAGAAGGAACCCTTCTCGTTTGGGATGGGCCCAGTGTTCCCCAGCTGTTTGACAGTTTGCCCCAGGCTGCCTTTGGGTTTGCGATGGGAGATCGAAGTTCGACTCATGGAAAAAAGTGGCCTCGTTCCTTCTTTAGGGTTCCTTGGGTCAGCGCCCCCCTCTCCTGCTCTGATCCCCCGTCCCCCCTCCCTCCCGCGCTCCTAGGGCTCCCAACGTCGCGCTTCGCGCTCCGCGAGAGCGCGAACAACTTCGCGCTCTCGCGCCGCCCCCCCCCCCCACCACTCCACCCCCAAGTGGAGAAAAGGCGGCCGAGGAGTAGTGGGGCAGCAGGAACGAGGACCGCGACGCGCGAATAACCTTCGCGCCCTCGTCGGAGCCCCCCTGGCGCTTTGATCCCGCGCTCGGCGCTCGGAACTGCCATGGGGGCCGCCCTGCCCGGCGCCGAGGGCGCGCTGCCGACCGCCGCCCCCCGGGAGCGCCCCTCGGCCCCGCGCTCGCTCGCGGGCGGGGGGCCGCGCCGAGAGCGCCGCACCCCCGGAGGCTCCCGACGGCCTCCGACGCGGAGGGCACCTCTGCGTCCGGGCCTCCCCTCGCCATCGCTCGGACGTCCATTCCCTGAGCGTTTTTCGGTTTCGCGCGTGGCTTTTTCGCCAAATGATCCAGGATGCTCCTCGATGATCCTCGCCGAAGGAAGAATGCACACGTCCGAGCGATGCCAAGTCCCCGGGTCCCCGGATCCCCTCGCGTCGTGGCGCACACGTCGCGACGGGAGGTCCTTCGTCGTGTGCGGCCCCTGGGGGCCCCGGCTGGGCCACCGGAGCGCCAAGCAGCGACTCGGGATGGAGGCAGGTCCCAGGGAACGGGTCGAGACCTCTGCGGGCAGACGCTGTGAACAAAATCGTGATGTCGGGGGCCCGGGCCAGGGAGGCACTTGCGCAGTGGAAATGCTCCTCCTTCTATCTCCTCCTCCCCCTTCCTCCTGCTGCTCCTCCTCCTCCTCCTGCTGCTCCTCCTCCTACTACTTCTCCTCCTGCTCCTCTTCCTCACCCTCCTTCTCCTGCTCCTGCTCCTCCTGCTCTTTCTCCTTCCTCCTCCTCCTCTTCCTCCTCCTCCTCCTCCTCCTCCTCCTCCTCCTCCTCCTCCTCCTCCTCCTCCTCCTCCTCCTCCCCCTAAGTCCTGCTGCTGCTGCTGCTCCTCCTCCTGCTGCTCCTCCTGCTTTCTCCCCCTTATCCTCCTCCTCCTCCTCCTCCTCCTCCTCCTCCTCCTCCGCCACCTCCTCCTCACCTCTGCGAGCGCGTGGGTAAGTGATGCGCGGCTTAGAATGACGATGGCGACGACGGTGATAAGGCTAGTTGATCATCGGCCGGGCACTCGCAAGCGCAGGAACGTCGCACGGTCCTGATGAAATGCGACGCGCGAGATCAGCGCACGTGCATCGACAGTGCGGGGCGCTGGCTCGGCCTCTTGCGAGCTGCGCCGCGCTGCAGCGCCGCGTGCAGGCAGCGCAGCGTGCAGGACGCTGCTGTCTCACCGCCTCCATCGAGCCCCTTCTCAAGAAGTAGCCTGGGCCCCCACCCCCGACCCCTTTTCACTTGCCAATCCCACAGTGCACGAAGCATCAGTGGAGGTGATAGCCCCTGACTGAGGACACCGTGGTCCAAGCCGCCGCATAGGAGCCGAGAGACCGGATCTGCTCGACAACACATGACGCGGGCAGAGGGCAATGCTTTGAAGCATGCGCCTACGATGACGACCAAGCGAGATTGACAAGCCGAGGAACAGACCGCGATCTCTACACCTGATGCGCGACCAAGTCTCGGGAGGCCTCTGGAGGCCCACGAGGGCCGAACGCCAAAAATCTGGTTCATCGAACCTCTGGCCTACCCTTCGATCCTCGAATCAAATCCTCGAGTGCACCTCGAAAGGTGATACAGGGCCAAGCTGGGGGGACAGACCTCGGCGCGATGCGCAAGGCGACAGGGGAGGAGGAGGAGGAGGAGGAGGAGGAGGAGGAGGAGGAGGTGGAGGAGGAGGATGAGGAGGAGCAAGAGGAGGATGAGGAGGAGGAGGAGGAGGAGGAGGAGGAGGAGGAGCAAGAGGAGGAGGAGGAGGAGGAGGAGGAGCAAGAGGAGGGGTCGAGAGCTTTGGGGGCCGGCGACTCGAGCAAGGCGAGTCGTCGGAGGTCTGGGCCAGGAACACGATTCCTGCAGCAGGGTGCTGCTCCCTCAGGAAGGTCAGGCTCTCCTTGTGGCTATAGCCCCAGCTTTCTAGTCATGCTGTGCAAATCTGTCGCGCTGTCGGGGCACCATTGTTGAATCAGTCGACACCCCGTCAAGACACCATCGAAAATCAACGGGGGTATCACCGGGACACCGTCGAAAACCAATCAGGCACCATCGGGACACCCTCAACGGAACAATCGGAACACCCATGGGGAAATCCTTGACACAATCTAAAACTAATCGGAACAACCTCGGGACACCATCAGTGGATAATCAATTCGGACACCCGTTGGGACACCGTCGCTGATCAGCAGGGACAACATCGAAAATGGATCAGTACACTATCGTGACACTATCAACAACATCGCTCGGTGTATGCATCGGACACACACAGAACAAAACACAATCGAGACACCATCTTAAATCAATCACACCAACATCTGGAAGTCATTGACCATCTGGTCGCACATCATCGAGCCACTATCGACAACGAATCGAAACATCATCGGGAAATTATCGGGACACCATCGAATCTAAATCGTAACACCACCGGGACACCGTGGACACAATCAAACATCAATTGGGACACCATCAAGAAACAATCGTTAAATCAATCGGGAAACCCACCGTGACACCGTCTCAAACCGATCAGTACACAATCGGGATACCATCGAATGTCAACTTGAGATACCCGTTGGGACGCCATCGGACAAAAAGACCATCGGGACTCCGTCGCAACTCAATCGTGATACCATCGGGACGCCATCGCAAATCAATCGAAGCACCATCGGGAATCGTGACACCATCGGGACATCAGGGCAGCTCGATCGGATACACCCAGGACACCACTGGAACATTCTCGGGACACCACGGAGGCTCCTCACACAGGCCCGCCCGCCGAACAAGCAGGGCGAAGGCTTTTGCTCCCGCCGTCCACCCTGACGACCCAGGGAGCTCGCGCGCGGCTTCGCAAGCATGGCAAGAGCACGAAGTGCAACTTCCTGGCGGGTGCGGCCTGGCGGAAGCTTCCGCGCCCCCAACCTCTAAACACGAGAAGCTGCCAACACGAACGAAGCAAGCCCTGGACTCTTGCCACCGTTGTTGGCCCCCTTGTGGCCCTCCGCGGGCAGGTGCGACTTCCTGGCGGGTGCGGCCTTGAGGAAACTTCCGCGCCCACAACCTCTAAACACGAGAAGCTGTCAGCACGAGCGAAGCAAGTCCTGGACTCTTGCCACCGTTGTTGGCCCCAACTCGGGGACGGCCAAGAGGGGGGCGTCCAAGAGGGGTGCAGAGCATGGCTGGCGGCACGTGCGCGGCCCAAGGGGGGGCCAGTGACGCAATGAAATAAGAAGAGGCGCCATGCAATCTGGGGAGATATCATGGCCCCCGCCATGCTATTCCTCCCCCCTAGTCATCACCCCCCTCTTGGTCGCCCCCGACCCTTGTGGCCCCCCGGAGGAGGAGGAGGAGGCGGAGGAGGAGGAGGAGGAGGAGGAAGAGGAAGAGGAGGAGGAGGCGGAGCAGGAGGAGGCGGAGGAGGAGGAGGAGAGCGAAGAGATGCGGCCGCTGGGAAGGCCTCGGGCTGCCGAGCCGCAGCGCCAGGAGCCAGTGGCCCGTGGTCGAGGAGGAGGAGGAGGAGGAGGAGGAGGAAATAAAAAATACATACGAGGAGGGGAGGAGGAGGAGGAGGGGGAGGAGGATGAGGAGGTAGGGGATGAGGAGGAGGGGAAGAGGAGGAGGAGGAGGACGGAGAAGAGGGACGAGACGGAGGAGTGAGGGGGAGGAGGGAAGGAGGAGGAGGAGGGGGAGGAAAAGAGGAGGGGGGGGAGGAGAGGAGGGGGGGGGGAGGAGGAGGGAAGGAGGAAGGAGGGAAGAGGAGAGGATGAGGAGGAGGAGGAGGGGGAGGAGGAGAAGTAGGAGGAGGAGGAGGAGGAGGAGGAGGAGGAGGAGGAGGAGGACTCCTAGCGACTGCCTGATCCTACCGACTCGCAAGGCTCCGCGTGGCGCACACAGCCCGCCCCCCGTGCGCGAGCTCGACTGCCTCCCGAGATGCGAAGCGACCCCAGCCACGAAGCGACCCCGCCCGGGAAGCCGGCTTCGATCTGGGTGCGTGTCGTGCGTGCGGGGGGGGGGGGGGGGCAGCTGCGCGAGTGCGGCGGCTTCGTGGCGCAGACAGAGGCCCAGTCGTACCAAGAGTCGCCCCTCGGGTGGCTCGGTTCCTCGCCGTGGCTGTTCCGCGGTTTGGCTCGTGGCTGTCCCGTGGCTGTCCCGCAACTGTCCCGCGGGGGTCCCGGAGGTTGTCCACGAGGTTGTCCAGTGGGCTGTCCTCTGGTTTGTTGTGGTCCCGCATATGCCCCATTCATGTCCTGTGGTTGTCCTGTGTGCTGTCTCAAGGGGAATGAACGTCCAATTGCATACGTATATTATATATACGTATATGTGTGCGCAAATCGAACCGCAAATCTGTGTGCAAATCGGCATGCAAACCAACATGCATATCGAAATACGGAACGAAATTCGGATCTAAGAAAGAATCCAATTGCCGCTGGAATACACACCGAAAGTCAAATCGACAGGCAGATCAAAATGCACATCGCAATGAACATTGGAGTGCAATTCGGAAAAAGATTCTGAATGCAATTCGGTCGGAACGCAAACAGACATGCAGATTCAGATCCGCATCGACATGCAACATCAAATCCAATTGCAATCGGAATGCAGGTCGTAATCCAAATCGACACATACACATGGAAATGCAAACCCGAATGCAATACATGCGTAAGTCGATCTGCAACTCCAAGTGTATCGAAACGCAAATTCTTCAACCATCCCAACCTCCTTATCGCCCGAAAGGTGGTCTGTTTTGTCGTTGGTGAAAGCTCACAGGGAAGGCTTGAACAACTAAATGCCACAACCTACTTCGAATCTAGATCGAGGTTGGGGCCCCAGACGACTTGGTGACCTTCATAAAGCTCAGGCGTTCAGTAGCCGGTTCAGGCGTGGGGACACTCCGTTGGAGTGGAACGCCCTCCTTTCCTGCAAGGGTGTCTGGTAGTCAGCAGGAATGGTGCCCTTGATCTTCGCGTTCTTGAACCATCCACGCCACTTTGGCGGATTGTCGAGGATGTGGTTGATGGCCGATGCCATGATCAGCTTCGTCACGCTGCCGCCCGCCTTCTCAAGATTTCGCAGATCGACGTGAACGTCGGCCTCATTCCACATATCGATGGGGTCCCCGGGCGGGTCCAGGTTCGGCTCCAGGAAGTTGGCGGGAGCGTCGGGGCCAAAGGGGGACTTCTTCTTCGGGAACTTGAGCTTCCTGATCCGATCGATCTCGGCAGCGTCCCGATGGTCGTGCCCGTCTGGGTCAATCCAGAACGTCAGGCCGTGGTGCAGCAGGGACCACGGCCATTTCTGAACGCTCGCCAGCGGCGGGACCGCGAAGGTCTGCTCCACGCTTCCGGTCCAGACGGCGCACGTGTCCCAACTTTTGTGGTTGAATTCGTTGTAGGTGTAGTTGATGAGGCCAGTGACCTCTTTGATGTTGTCCACGTAAGACTCCACGTCGGGTCCGATGAAGAACAGGTTCCCGTCGGTGATGAGGAGCTCCCGCAGATCTAAGGAAAGCTCAGTTTCGCTCTGGTCCCAGACCTCGATATACTCATCCTCGTTCACGTTGATGGCTGGCCTCGCCACCTTAGAGACTCCCCCCTGTCCGGGCTGACCAGAATCCAGATCCCAATTCGATCCTCCGGATCTGTCCTTAGGTCGGGCCTGTCCCCCTACAGGGGGGTTTTGGACAAAAAATTAAAAACAAAAAAAAAGAGTACCCCAAACATATCCATTAAATTAAAACGGATCAAAACTGATCAAAATTAAAAGTACGATAGAATTAATATTAAAAAATACTCAAAATAGTTTGTTTTACCTAACAGCGAAGACTGATAGGTTTCTAGTAGGGTCAAAAGAAAGCATCTTGACTCCCCAGGGGGGTCCGGGCAGGATCCGGGGGGATGCCGGGGAACTCGTTTTAAGCAAACAGTAACGCACTTCGTGGTCTTCGAGTTCCCAGAACTCCACTCCTGGGCATGATTTTGAATGCCCGGAGCCAACGGTAGGCCACTTCGTGTTCTTCGTGTTCCCAGAACACCATTCCCGGGCCACATTTTGAATGCCCGGAGCCAACTGTAGGCCACTTCATGTTCTTCGTGCTCCCAGAACACCATTCCCGGGCCACATTTTGAATGCCCGGAGCCAACTGTAGGCCACTTCGTGTTCTTCGTGTTCCCAGAACACCATTCCCGGGCCACATTTTTACCTAACAGCGAAGACTGATAGGTTTCTAGTAGGGCCAAAAGAAAACATCATGACTCCCCAGGAGGGTCTGGGCGGGATCCGGACGGGTGCAGGGGACTCCTTTTTTAACCAACAGTAACACACTTCGTGGTCTTCGAGTTCCCAGAACTCCATTCCTGGGCATGATTTTGAATACCCGGAGCCAACTGTAGGCCACTTCGTGGTCTTCGAGTTCCCAGAACTCCATTCCTGGGCATGATTTTGAATGCCCGGAGCCAACTGTAGGCCACTTCGTGGTCTTCGAATTCCCAGAACTCCATTCCTGGGCATGATTTTGAATGCCCGGAGCCAACTGTAGGCCACTTCGTGGTCTTCGAGTTCCCAGAACTCCATTCCTGGGCATGA